ACAATTAGTTTTTTGAAGATGTTTAATATCGACGTTTCGGATTTACTAGATACGTTCCATCATCAGGTTTATTTGTCATTCTTCTTCAAAGACAACGCTTTTGTTTTCGCTAATAAGGACCAAAACTTTTATGAGAGAGGCAATAATGAACTACCATTAAAATGGCAACAAATTATAGAACAAATGGTGCATATTTGACCTGAATCGGACAATGCAAAACATGTTAATGAAGTCTTGAAGTTCACGTAAAAATAATGGATTTCTTTTTCCCACCCTATATATATTCCTTTATAATTTTTCTAAATAATCTGTAATGACCATCACTAATTAATGTTAGTCAATAGTTTTAAAAAGCATTGTCTTTGACAGAATAAACTTGATGATGGAACGTATCTAGTTCCGAAACGTCGATATTAAACATCTTTTATCTTTATTAAACGAATTGTTTTTTATTATTGGATTTACTGTTCGAAAAGAACAATCAATATAATGAAAATCCAGACTTATCTATTGAATATATATATATATATATATTATCTATATATATATATATATATATCTGAGTACGTTCTTCAGGGCAATACATCAAACAAAGAAAGGCCAAAGATTTAGAAGGTAATCTTTAATTTTTTCCAACGTTTCGACATAGGTCATCATCAGTGGATAATTTCTTTATAAATATGGTCTTACATCAGTAACTTGCGCAAGGCACATGATTTTGCACTATCATATATACACTAACTTGTTTTTTTTGTTTTTGTTGAACAGAGTATAGCAAAGTATTTGTGAAATATAAATATTTTGCACGGAGAATGTAGTTAATGCGAATGTCTCCGAGGCGATAATCTCTATACTTACTATTGAATTACTGTATAGTAATAATAACTAGTTTTATTGCAAAAAAATATTATTATATTAAAATGTCTGAGTTTCTAAACAGGTTCTAAATTTTGGATCAAGTACCAAAATTAATTTTGAATTTGTCAAAATTATGCATTTTTATTGCATTTTTCATGAATTTGTAGTAAGCGAGAGTTTTACTTCAAAATATTTCATGAGTGTTCAATGGCATGTAAGGTATCGATTAAAAGCTATTTTTAAGTAGAACACGATTTTACAATAAAATTGGGTTTCCTACCAAATGCATGAACTTTCAGAAAATTAGAAATAATGAATTAATTATTTTTTCCAGGGGTGTCCAAATTGACGACTTGTTATTCGAATGGGAGTTATGTATTACCTAAAAAACCAAAAAGGGCAAAGAGCTATCTCAAAATAATACCATCGTAGCCAGGTAATAATTAATAATTGATAATTTAATACCTATCCATCAATCTTTCATATCATTTCCAGAGTCGAATTAATAATGGGCACAGCAGGAACAATTCTAAGGGAAACCACATGCCAATTGATGGTGCGCAAATTTATTTGGCCAAAGGATGTTCCACCCGAATTGCTTTTACAACAACACATTTTCAACTTTGATCTTGAAGTGATTGAAGATCTGAGGCCGTCAGAGCCAATATTTAAACTTGAAAAAGTCATCACAGGTTGCAAAGTTGCTTTTGGGGCTGAATGCGATGAAGCTGAAAAAACTATTCATGACCTTACGGTCAAACATAATTTGCATAATAGTGCTGTCTATTTATGTAGTATCGGTTGATTGCAAATCAAAATGCACAAGTTATGGAACCGGTCATCAAGTTGCCACCTGTTGAATTGCTTGATGAATGAGGAAAAATAGTTGTTGAAAAAGCTGATGATGTTTTATTCATTGGATTTGTAGTAAGCGAACCTAAAGAAGTTTTGCTTACTTATACTACTTAAATCTGATACTTACTACTTAAAACCTGATTCGAATGAACTACTTAAAACCTGATTTTATTATTTTTAAATGTTATATTTTTTGTAATAAAACTATAGTAATATTCATCATAACATGTTTTTATTAACTTCCGTAGGGCAAGTTATAGTAATCGCAAAAAAATCGAAAATGAAAATTTTTATATATCTTTACGTTTCAAAGGTTTCTGAACATTTTGGCATACTTTAGAAAAAATGGATGTATGTGTGTGTGTGTGTATGTATGTGCGGATACAAATTTTCGTCGACGATTTCGGGAACATGAATCAACCGATTTCAATAATTCAAAAAAATTCGATTCGTATTGATAAGGAGACGTGCTGATTAGTTTTTTGCAAAGGTAGGTCTAGCCGTTCCGAAGATACGGGGCAAAAAGTGCCGAAAACGGGCACTACTTTTTTTTAAGAGAACGAAGCGTCCGATTTGAATAATTCAAAAAACATTTTATTTGTATTGACTAAATGAAGAACTGTTCAACTTTGGAAATATGGAGGAAAAAGTAAAAAAATGAGCCATTTGGCGGTCAAAAAAAACATTAGACATATGCACATCAATTATCAGATATTTTATAGAGATTTTAACAATAAGTATAAATTTTGTTACATTCCCATGGGTTCCGTACCAATGTTTACGCGTTAGACGGCGATGCGGCGCTTACGCGCTTTGATATTTCGTCTTTATGCAGTGAAAGCAGTACGATTGCTTTGAAAAAACTTCAGAATTTCCAAAATATGTCAAAATGAAGAAAACATTTTTCTTTTCAAAAAAATTTGTTTTAAAAAAAAAAAAATTTTTTTAAAAGTAATTTTTTGTCAAATTATATATAGTTTCCGAAAATCTATTTTTTTCGAAGTAAAATTTTTTTTCAAAAATGTTAATTGTTTTTAAAAAAAAAATAATTTTTTGGTTCCAGCAATTTGCCTTAAGGCACGATGCCTTAATTGCCTTAAGACAGAATTCCACTTACAGCTAGTTTATAAAATCGTATTCTGCTTAAAAATAGCTTTAAGTCGATACCTACGATCACATGCCATAAAACCTTGTTCTATCATATATACTTAATATTATAGTTTGAATATAGTTTTAATATAGTAATATAGTATAAGTAATTTAATATAGTATAAAATAGTTTTAATTATTATTCATAAATTGATTTGTAATTTATTTATACTTGTTCAATGTGTTTTTTTCAGTCCATATTTGATTAACTCTGTACTGGTTTAGTGCTCTTTTCTTCTAAAAATGTGAGACAAGTAGGTTGCAACGAATAGTATATTCGAGAAAATGCCGAATACGGAATATTCGGCATGCTCCAGAGACAAAATAACGAATATTCGGCAACTATTTGGCAGGTTTTTAGCGCAAAAAACTGTGTTATAATATTATAACACATATAATTATATAAAATATATATTTCAATGTAACATGTCTTACATATGCAAATATATAGATAGTTTTCCAACCCCAGGATTTTCCAACGCGACCCATAGTTTAAGAAGCCCTGTCATATATAAGGATTGAGTCTTAGCTATTTAGGTAAAATTTTCAACTATTTATTTCAAAAATCCAGTTTTTGCTTTCACTAAAAACTAAACAATACAGTTTCCCATTGATATCTTTCAAACAGATTTTTAATATTTATAATTATCTTAATTATAGTACTTAGAACATAAAATGGCGGCCCATTATTTCAAATTTAAATAAATTTTGTAATTAAACCGCTTTTTGTATGATCATATAATTTAACCCAATAATTTAACATTATGCAAAGTTTTATTAATATCATCTATTATCGTTTACTACGTAAAATTTGTTCAATAACTAATCACGAAGAAATGATTAAATTTGCATTTGACAAGGAGCATATGTGCAACATAATCAACAAAGTCTAAGAACGGTTTTGTTAAACAAAATTGAATGATACGAAATAGAAATCTAATTGTATTGAATTCCACTTATTAAATTTATAAATTTTTCATGTGTTTTATCCATTCAATAATGAAAATTAACAGTAATATTAGTATATTTGTCTTACCTTATCGCAGCATCATAAACCAGGAATTACTAGTCTATTTCACAAGTAACTGCTTATTTTAACTTGAAAACACGATCACAAATTATTAAAGTCCTGTTGCAACTACATAATTGTAAATTAACACTGTTTTAAAGCAAATTTATAATATTTTTTCTAAAGAAAAACAAAAACTATCTGGACGTTAAAAGTTCAAAATGACGTTGAAACATGTTGAAGTTGTTTTGCTAATGCAGGTTGACCAGCTGTTAACGGCGAACCAACATTAGATAATAAAAATTTGAAACTGAAAAATAGAAAAAATTAATTAAAAATTATAAATTTAAACATTTTAAAAAAAGTTATTTATAAATACATTTTTGTCATACTTATACTCACCTATTTCTGGAAAATGGTAATGACTACACCAAAATATTTCATTGCTTGGGGGTTGACATTGGTAACTTTTGTACATTCTCTTTCTCTTTCTGCAATTTAATAAACTGTTGATTATTAATCACACAAAAACTGTTTCAGTATGTAAATATAAATTTATCCATTACCAATTAATATTTAAATAAATTAGTTTCAAATATCTTTATTTTTGTAATGAAACAGATATAAAACATTATATTTAATCAGTTATTTTGTTTCTTTTACTTACTTCATTAATTGTGTATATATATACATAAATCATATACACTATAATATATACAGAGAATACTAATTGTGTTAACTTCATTTGTTCTAGCTTAATTTTTACATTTTGTGATTAATTAAATCTCTAAACTTGATAATTACATAGGCACTAATAGGTAATTTCTACATCAGTTATATGTCGTAGAATGATCTGATATAAATATAAATTTATATATATATATATATATATATATATATAATATATATATAAGGAAAGTAATTGCCTAAAAAATATTATGCCTATAAAAATATTTTATTCATAAAATATGCTATGATTAAATTCATTTTGCAATGAAGAGTAAATATAACAATTAAAAGAATTCAAATGCAAAATTACATATCAAATGGTTTTATAAAAAGAATTGTATAATATTGATCAGGCAAAGACTTTGCAAATGTTAACATATATATAAATTTATATAAGACTATTTGGCTTAAAAGAGCTACATACAAGAAAATACAGTATTAAAAATATTTTAACATAACTTTCAAGATTATAACAAATGTCGAGCACTGGGATACAATTTAATTTCATTAATTCACTGGATCAACTGGCAGTAATCCCAAACTTTGTGTAAAAATCACAAAAAACTTGCACAAATAAATACGTAAACCATTCCAAATGAGATGTGATGGTGATCAACACATCATGTTCAACAAGGAATTTGCGTATACCATTGGTTTAACATCAGGATGCGGCTGCAGATAAAAGTAATGTTATATATGAAATATTATTTAAGTATATAGTTATGTGATACTGACCACTGCCGAGAATGAGACATATTCTGGGATCATCGTCTTGCCCTTTAATTTGATAAAAGCACCTTTGTTTCCCATTGTATCACTGTAAATTATAAATCATAAATTAAAAATAATTATTTACTAGGTTGAAAATAGTTAAAACAAATGTTAAATTTATTATTTACCAATAATTAGGTGCAGAAAAAACAGTAATGCACTTCCCATCATGAGCAACCTCATAACCTTCAGATTTGACTTCATGGCTACGAATTACATAGTCAAGATTGTTCTTCTCCAAGAATTTATGAGTAACATCTGGTCCAAATTGACAACCAACTCCTAAAAAACATATATGCAGTAGTAACATATTCTTATACTAATTATTGTTTTAAATTTACCTCTTTTACTTGGTGACCTGCCGTTTTGTGGTTGAGGATCGGACCACAATAACTCACACATAAGACCTAAGGAAATAAATAGTATTATATATGATATATATGTTTTATAATGTTTGTTAGCAATTTACCTTCATCAGGGGGTTGTCTATTCCTATCAATTTGCCTGATATCATCGATAGTAACATCGTCAGTGGAAAATAGACCACCATGCATTACCAAAACTCTGGAAAAAAATTTATGTAAGTGCACATAAGCTAAATTATATTTATATTAAGTATTTACCTTTTGTTTAAACAATGTGCTAAAGGCAACCAATTATATACTTCTGTAAACAGTTCTGCCATGTTTTTTGTATACTTTGCTTTCACTTCTCCTTCAAATCCATACATTTGATTCATTGTGGAACTTTCATGATTACCTAAAAAGAAACAACATAAATTTCATCATAAAAATCCCTGCTTATAAAATGTTATTCCCCATACCTCTAGACATAAAAAAGCTATCCGGATACAACAACTTGAATCCAAAAAGTGTAAATATACATTCAACAGAAAATGAGCCTCTATCAACAAAGTCACCATTAAACAAATAAGGATTATCAGGCGAGGGCAAACCATTCAATGCAAATATATTCATTAAATCGTAAAATTGACCATGAACATCTCCACAAACTGTGAATTTGGATTCATCAGGAATAGTTACATCCACGAGCGATGGTTGGGTCATCAAATAGGTTTTAACATCTACCAAAATCTATGAAAAAAGATAATTAAGATAATGAATTGTTTTATGGGATTTAATGTGTTACCTTGTAAGCATATTTTCTATGGAGCTTTTGTTGTTTTTTGTATGTTTCCATGAGGTCCATCATAAATTTTAAGGTGACTTTATCATCTTCCAATTTAGGACCCGCATAGTCATCCTCAATAGCTAAAATATAATAAATAAATAAATTTCGTATATATATTGATAATGAACAATAATATCTATACTTACACATTGCAGCAAAATCAATAGTATCAGCAATATTTTTCTCTGGCTTATCAACAGCTATAGCCTTTTCAAAGGCTAATTTTTTTACAATCTTATTACATTCGTTGTACTTCAATTTAGCATCTTTGTCATTAGGTCTAGCTTTTACTACCTAAAGAAAAAAAGCATTAATGATGAATACAAACTTTGGTGTATATAAATTAGATATTTATATTAGCGTACATATTCAAAATCCTTAAGAGCAGCCTTGAATTTGCCCAAAGACATATGGGCAGCTGCTCTTCTATAATAACCTTTGATATAAGTCTTATCACAGTCAATCGCTTTCGATGCATCACTAAGAGCATAACTAAAATAATAGAATAAAAGTCATCAATAATATATCATGAATCTATATGTAAAAGTTCTAATAAAGGTTTAGGTACGCAATCCACTTAAGACTATTCCATGGTAGCGTACAATATTTTACTTCTTAGTCTTTGAATGTAAAAGACAATTACTTAATATATAAATGTAATGCTTAATTGTATATATTTATTCTAACATGTGACATATCATTAAGGTTATGAGGTCTTTTTATTTGATACATACCCAAAACTTTCTGTTCTAAGATGCGAAATGCTTCTATTTGAGTAATAAATAGCATTATTTGGATTTGCTTCAATTGCTTTATTGTATAAATCTATAGCCCGCTCGTAATCTTGTTCTGCAAAATAAACAATTACAATATGTTTGAGGTTATGTACAAATAAATAAATAAATAAAGATACAAAATTTGATAAAAGGCAAAAGAATTGTATATAAAGTGATATACATATATATATTGTTTGATATATAAATATTGTATAGTTACTTTTAAAATATTCATTAGCTTCTTCTTTGAATTTTTCGGCAGCCGCTATATTTTCGGGCGTGACTTCAACACAATTACTCGACATGGTTTAAAATAATTTAACTAACTATGTACACAATTTTTACATCAAAAATATATCACACATATACAATAATGAACTTTAAAAGGTTTTTTTTTTAGCAGTTCTTGTAAATTGAAGAACCGACTGAGAATGATTGTGTGGGTCTGCGTGCGCACAATGACGTAATCTTTGACTTTTGAATCGGACAAAGAATCGAGTTTATTTATATTATGTTATGGAAAAGAATTCAATTAACATGGCGCAAGAGTTAATTGCAATTAATAATTATTTAAATTATTTAGTTATGGACATGAGTCAACAGAATGATTAATGAATTGTGGAAATATTTGATGGGTGGCAGCACTGCTTTTGCTAGATGTCAAATGTCAAAACTCAGTTTGCGCAATGGCGGTTTTTGAAAATGTTCGGTTGATAATAAAACCTTTATGGAAGTTATATTTTAAACAGAATAAGAGGAAATGAGTTATAATAGAGGCAGATTTAATTACCGGAAACGTGGTTTTTCACGTGGAGGAAGTAGTTCATCAGGACGGAGCACCCCATCAAACGAATCATCTGTAAGTTTTCTTTCATCACAATTTTACAGTTTTTGATTCTCATTATTTACTTAGGTGCAATCTTTTACCAATTCTGCTAATTTACCGGAAGTTGTCAGAAGATCTGGAGAGCAACCTTTAATATCAGTTGCTTTGGACGTTATTCCTGGACCTTACCAGGATGGAAAAGTATTTCCCTTTGAAGGTATTGTATAGTTTGAAACCTGATGTACATATTATCATCCATTTATTATTTTAGTTTATACTGCTGGATCTCAGACAGTAAAAAATATCAAAGCTACTGAATCCATATCACAAGAAGAACGGTTTTATATAACCTGCAAAGATGTAGAAAATTATTGTGGTACCCTATACATATGAGGGCTCTCTTAGGAGATCCAGTATTCAGTGAAGATTGGCCTATGTTTCAAGAGGATCTAAGAGAAAAACCGGAATATACTTTGAACTGCTTGGGGCTAGCCATGCATCAGGTGAGGTAAATATAATTTGGTTTGGTATGGTGATAATAAGATTTTAAAAGTAGTTTAGGTACTTCGATTGCAAAATGAGTCAACTGATTCATCAAACCTGGATATGGTAATGGCTAGAGTGATGGGGCACGGACCTGTAATACCTTTGAAAAATATTCGTGTACACAGATAGTATGTGCATTAAGTTTTTTAATAATATCAAT